TGGGTGCTCCAAGCAAATCAGGCTTTAAGAGCCCTCCTTATTTATTAGGGTCCAGTCAAACGGCGACATCATTTCAAACAACATAAATATTTTTAAATTACAAATTGTTTGATATTTGTAGGAATACACGAATAGACAAAGAGTAACCCGAAATTAAATAGCGATGCTATAGCAAATTAATTAATTTAACGGCAGAGTCAGCAAGGGACGCCATTGACGAAAGTTTATCGACCAAATTGGGATATATTGAAGAAGACCCATATTAAAAGTATCATTAACCGACAAGCATGTATGCGTAGGTATATGGATTTAAAGGATAAAGGAGGCAAGAGACATGTGTCAGGATCGCGCCAAATGGACGTCCGTAGTCTCTGCCTACCCCTCGGGGTGACAGGCGTGGTAGTTTATGATTATGAAATGATAATTAATTTATGCCAAGATTTGTATTGCCATTGTTTGTTTACCCGGGACTCGAATCTGTAATAGCAATATTTTGAAGAGTGATCTCATGTTTATGTAAGTTTGAGAGCAAACAATATCACGCTTGCCAAGATATCGCGTTAGGCAGGATGCCAGAACATACGTTAGCATATTTCTGATCATAAGCATGATTTGGAAGTTTCAAATTATGAACAATGTATTTAGAAAAAAAGAAAGAGTGACTAAGCAAATTTAGGCTGTAGAAGTAAATGGTAGAGAGTCGTCAAGAGGCGTTTACCTACGTTGCTCTAGACCGAAGTTTACCGACCGAATTGGCGATATATTAAAAGTTGAACCAAATTAAGAATACTTTTAACCGACAAGCACATACGAATATAATAGAACAGAATAGAATAAATTTTATTCAATATAGCTAACAAGAATACTTTTTGAATCACATTTATACTTTAGCCACTCGTTCGGATAAATCTGTCCCGAGAAGAACCAGCAAAAAACCTTGCGAGTGTTTTTTTTAAATATTAATTAACAATTTAATAAGTTGTACAATTAAATATGAAAACATGTAGACTACACAGCGTGGTAGCGATCACCTTATACCCAGGAGTTATTATCAATTGTGTACTCTTTAGTAATATAATAAACATTATTAAAAAACTACTTACTAAAAATTGTAAACTTCTTGATGGATATGTCCTCCATATTTTCTGGGACTTTGTTCTAAAAGCTAATGCGTTAGTATACTTTGGAGCCTAATAAATGGTATTTTGACAAAAACCCGCTAGCCAAGCATGGAAACTATTGCATATCATATATCCCTTCGTAGGATGGTAATAGGTACTCGTATAAAATAGGCACAAAACAAATCATATTACGATTATAGGCACTAACTAGATATATGCATCAATTACGTGATGTGAACCTCAAGATAATGTGTCTGCGTGAGCTGCTTGATACCATCGCCATCAACTGTCTGCCGGCTCAAGCTGCCGTTAATATGCTTCCAAACACATCGCAATGTGACGCATCAACCTACTGTGAAGAAGTGTACTTACTACCTATAAAGGATAATTTCTTATTACTTGATATTGGCAGAAGTATAATTGTACGAGTCCAAAGAAAGAAAGAAGACTTGACATTAGCAGAATTTGTTAGATATCTACTACTTAGACTACTTTTAGACGTGGTAGAGCCATGCTGCAGCTATATTAGTAGTATAGTTGTAGCATGAATGGGTCGTAAATTAAGTAAATTAAGGCGAGTGTGAATGAAAGTGTTGGAAGGGGTAGACCTAGGCGGACATTTCTAGGCCAAATCAGCGACGTCTTAAAAAAAGGCCAGGTCAAGAGTACCCTAAACCGTAGAGCATGTATGAAGGGAATAATGAAAGTGGACGAAGCAAAACAAGTATGTAAGGATCGTAGCAAGTAGAAAGAAGTGGTCTCTGCCTACCCCTACGGGAAAGAGGCGTGATTATATGTATGTATGTATGTATGAATGGGTCGGCTCAGCCGGGGAAGAACCACGCTCTCACAGAAAATAAGCGTAAAATCGCAGCTTGACACTGCTGTGTTTCGTATGGTGAGTGTAGAGAACCGGAGACCCATTTTACTGGAAAAGAGGCATTGCATCTTAGTCCTCACGGGTGACGACGCATCTGCGTTTTGATTCTTTATTATAAATAAATGTAGATGTATATGGGTCACAGCAACCACTTACCATCAGCTGGGCTGTGTGCTCGTTTGTCACCCTATCCCATAAAAAAATACTTACGATTTTTGCCATTAATAAATAAAAGATAACACATCTATTCATGGCTTCTCATTGATATACACTTGTGCTATACCATAAATAAATGTATCTTTTTTAAAAGCCATATAAACTTAATTAATAAACAATACAGAAGTTCATTGGTATAAAATAGTATCGAGCTCATACAGTATAAAAGGCGTTACGTCCTTTCCAATTTCCAAGTTTCCATAGATACTAAGTCGATTCGCGGTCCGCGCTACACGCGGTGTCACAAACGAGTGTGAGTGACGATGACGAACGAATTGGCATCAGCGCGGCGCACGGGCCGCCGGCCGATGCGATTAAATGTCCGTAGACGCGGACTTGGGTACAAAAACTTCTCTAACGCTTATTTTCCTCTTTACTTTTTTGCTTAGAAAATAATGTTTTTGATTTCAATAAGTCTTTAAATTCACACTCCACAGTGGGAGGCAAATCAGAAAAGTTTTTAACAAAATCGAGGATTACATTTTAGTGTTGCAGCTACATGTCCATCATCTACATTCAAAATTTAATTACATCACTCGAAAGCTAAACGATCAAATAATTCGTTACGTTAAGTAAGGACAATAATGCATCGCACGCGATGGAGGAGGAAGCGCCGCCATTTTGAGGTCGTTTCCTCACATACACGTATTCACGTAAAACACATGACCGTGTCCACAACGCAACCACACACCGACTTTTTATTAGACCTTAATTATCTGTAAATTTTAACTAATAACTAATTCCCAGTTGTGGAATAAGCAGGCAGCTGTGACACGGTTAACAGTAATACGGCTGCCGTCGTTAACCTCTCAGTGAAAATTATATATGTTAAGTTTCTAATATTATAAAAGAGAAGATAAAACGTTATAATGTTTTGTTATTGTATTGTAAGGGTAATAGATAATAGAATAAAAGTTAAAACAGAACGTAAATTTAATATGAAAGGTGACGGAAGTATGGTAACAGTATGGGTACGAAAGAGAAAGATAAAAATAAAGTAGTGTAAATGCTGTGCAAGCGAGATAGATAATTGTAATTATATAAGTGTGTCGAAAGAGAAAATAGACCATTACTTGTAATGGCGATATGTGTTTCATTTCCATCTTACAATATTATTATTATTTTAACCGACTTGAAAGAAGGAGGAGTTCCTCAAATGAACTGTATTTTTGGATGTATGTTACATGATAGTTTCGATTTAATGTTTTTTTTTATTAAATGGGCTATATCATAAGGGAGACCCCAAATTTGAAGAAAAACATCTACCTCTAGCTGTGGAAAAATAGGGGCTAAAGTAATTCTAGTTGTTGCTTGTAATGTTGCTTTGTTCACTTTAAAAAAATGCGACTGAAAGTAAGTATTTAACATAATGTCTCCAAATTCGGGGATTTAATTATTCGATAAACCGTCAGCGTTAACGTTATATTAAAGCTTAATTATTTTAGCTAGTATGTCATCGAAGGAATACTTTTGTTTATTGTAACAATTCAATAAATGCACTTTCAAAAAAAAATGTCTTTCACTGTCTAGTAAATCTGTGGAGCTCAAAGCTTATTTAAATTAGCACTCTAACTTAATTTATGACCACGAGGCCCTGATGAAGCCGTAAGCATGCCTTTAATTTTTATGTTAAAAAGTCAATTTTGATTGTGGTGGATATTCTTTAAATGTCATTTAATTTTTATATTCAAAATTAGTAGGTACAATAGTTTCTATTTGTTAATACAAGAAATGTGATCAAAAATAACTTAAAAAGCTGTGGAATGTTCTAGGGGATAAATTTTAGTTAGGAACGAATTGGCTCCAGAAAAAAAAAATTTGCAACAGAATTGTGGCGGTGCTGTCATCGTACCGCAATAGTGTAAACAGACCGAACTACAACGGAATCCTAAATCCCGCAGTCCGAGGCCACCAAGTTAAATTAGGAAATCGGAGTTTCGAACGAATGTGCATTTACAATTTATAAAAAAACACCATGTCCGATCCGAAAGGTGAATATAGGTACCGTAATGATATCACCAAAAATATTATAATACTAATAAATATAACAATATTTTTTGTTACTTAATGTACTACAATTTGTTTAAAATTCAGAAAATTTATAAAATCTGGCAGCACTGTCGTCGACGACAGTTTTTAGTTTGTACGTGTATTTATTATCTAACTGTATATTGTTACGCAATATATTGCAATGAAAGTTTCCCCATATTTTTTTTCTAAATACTAACGATGATATTAACATTACTAATATTGCGTTTAAACACTCCTTGTAAGCTTAAAATGCCTATGTTAGGAGCTGTACACGACAGTAGTCGAATTCGCACCCACAATCTTTTGGAATCGCGGTCTTTATTTACCCTGCCAATATGTTACTGTTGCTTCAAAAATCTAGTTTTATTTTTTTAACAGACCAGTTGTAATCATATCACGAAACAAAAGTATCGGGATTTTTACATATTGTATATAACATGATATGTACTACTAACGGAATATTGGCAGCCCCTAAGGCTAAACACATCGCCCAGTGGGAGATCTCTCCTTTTCATTCCACGGCCAAGACCAAGAAGTATTGCACGTACATAGATGATTGCAAAAATGGCATTTCAAATATTAAGACATGTCAAACATTATAAATTTACCCAATTTACACATCTACAGTAACAAATCTATATTAAACCACGGCGCACACCAAGTGCGATGAGCGATACGAGTGCTAGTATGGCAACGTCGCACCGCTTCCCCTCGCGCAGTATCGCTTAGGCATCGCTCGGAGAGGCCGCGTCATGAGCGCCAGAGAATATCGCGAGAAACTAATAGATGAAGTGAAAAAGTACCCAGTCTTGTACGACACGTGGCACGAGAACCATCGCGACATCGACGTGCGCGATCTATGCTGGACGGAGATATCTAAGCGGCTGGGAGTTAACTGTAAGCTTTTTGTGTACCGCCAACCTATTCTAGACTCTAGCCTATTTATATATTGTAGTCTATATTGAACGCTATCAATATATAATTAGTAAGTACAATGTAAATTAATGTCCTAGGTTTTTGAAGAGATACTCATACATAGTTTTTATTTATTATCCACCACCCGAGATAAAACTAAATTATATCAAAACATCTTTGGTACGAAGTGTTAAATAAAATTACTAGAATTATTGACATAATATGTAAGTTCATATAGGCGGCTCGGTAGATCAGTGGCTTATCCACTGGTCTACCTATGTTTGACTGGTTATGTAAGTCGCGGGTTCGCTTTCCGCATGGTGCAAGTGTATGACTTACCGAAGTAGGAAAACATAGGTCTTGGACTCACACTATCATTGAATACAAGTAATTTTATGGATTGTAGGGCGGTTAATTTAACTTTCTTCTAATGAAGGCATCCACGACTTTTTCTGCCACCAGGGCGGCATCACTAGAAAGTGAGGTATAATATTTAACAGATTTCATAGTGGGGAAGTTAATTTGTTCGGAAAATGTAAAAGTTATTGTTTCGTTTTGTAGGTACTATTAGCTATATTTTATATTAATAACATTAAAAATAAATAAACCAAACCACAGATATTCATAAAAGTAGAAAAATGTTTAAAAAGTTAAAAATGTGCAAAAAATTAAATAGAAAACCACTGATGCATTGTTTTGTGTATTAATATAATACTCTAGAAAATGATAAGCTTTTATTAAAAAACAACTTCTTAATTAAATTGCATTGTGTAACAAAAAACTTTACCTCAGTCGCAACTAGCGACATCTAGTGAGTGGCATATTATTAGCCCTCATTCCCTAAGTTTCGTGTGTTTTACAGCTCCCATAAGTTAGTAAGTGGATAAAATTCGCAAAATTAGTTTTATTCAAAGTATTAGTGTAAATATATGAAATCATTATATCACACTATCATAATTAAGTAAAATGATGAATTGAGTCATTTGTCTTGTGTCATCTTACTCCTACCGCCATCTAGTGATAGTAATAGGAATCTCCTGTAACTATTTCATCTCACACGACCCGCTAAACTCTTTCAAGCATTCAAACTCAAGCAATTTTGATACCTACCTAGATGGTAGATAGGAATGGGGCATAAAATTCCCACCTTAAGCTCCCTCCGCCGAAACGTATTATTTTACTTCTAAGTTATTTTTGGTTTTGTAAAATCTTAACCGCTCATTTCGTGTGTTAGTCTCTTTAAAATACATTGAGCTCTGTTATCTTTGTTTACAATTTTAATGTTAACTTTATCAAAAATACGAATGTATCAAGTAATATCAGCGATAGTAGGTTAATGTGCGGTAAACATGAATATATATTCATGTTTACCTACCTGTACTGTAAAATTTAAAAAAAAATACTGTAATATAGCAATTCTTTCTAAATTTAACGATTAATGAATTTACTAGTAATTTATCTGTGTTTCATAGACTACGATCGGTTTTGCACTTTAATTCGCATTATTATAATTATTAATATATTAATTTGCATTATTTAAAAACGTAAAAATAACAAAATTACTTCATTATATCTCTGCATCATCCCAAGGTAGACTGGTAGAGAATGCCTTAGGCATTAAGTCCGCCTATATACCACATGTGTATATGAAGTTTTAAATAAATAAATAAATAAATAAATAAAATTGAAACAGGGAAATTGCATATTTTGTGGAAGCCTATATTTTTTTAGAGTTGTGTATTTATTTACCTTAGTTTTTTTTTTAGTACAAAGCTTCTATAGATATTGCATGCACACACGTATCTCTTTTGAAAAAAAAAACGGCTAATTCTATTATTAGTCCATTTATACATTTTTTCTTTTAAATTTTCGGATATCAAGAGCGAGCGTGCACTCAGCCGCCTAATTTCCTCGGGGTATGGGCTGGACTGAAAACCAGTGCTACCACTGAGTCCGGTCCTTTTCGCAGTTTCATGCTGCAGCACAGGGTTTTTTTTAAGTGTATTTTATAACTGTGTCCCATGAGTGTTGTAGGAGGCGACAGAAGGAAACAAACCAGGAGATGGTTATCAGCGTTTCCCTAATAATATCTTAAAAAACTGCGGTTGCCAACCCGCCTGCGGAGCGTGGCAACTATTAGTAAGTAGTAGTAAGGCAATCTATGGGGAGGTTTATGTTCAGCGATGAACGTTTGTTAATTGAATATAAACAGAATTATTCAAATTAGCGCAACCTTATTAGGTTTCTCCTTTCTTCGTTTATGCTCTATGCCTGTTTGTCCACAAAAGTAATAATATTTTTAAGAATATTAAAGATACACATAACATAAATACACGTAACAAAAATAAATTATACCTACCACAGTCGCGAACAAAAATTTTAAATACAAGCCCCTACTATATGGCAATAAAAGTATATAATAAATTACCACAGGAAATAAAAAATATATCAGAATTAACCAAATTTAAATCAAGACTCGGTAAATATTTAAAACAAAACCCCTTCTACTCAGTGGAAGAGTATTTAGATATAAAATAACATTATTATATATTTTTATATTTTTTTATAGCTTTTAATTATTTTTTATGTATGTTAATAGTGTATAAGCAGTGTCCTCGTCAAATTTTGCAGTGCCTGAAAAGGGCGTCTAAGTTGTAAGCACATTTTTAATTTAAGACCAATTATGTACACTTAGATTGCAGAATAAATGATTTGATTTGATTCTCCAAGTCCTAACGTTTCTTAAGACAACATTTTGACATTCCTCCACGATTCAAGGTCGTTAAAGTCAGATGCTAAGTGTTTGTACCATTAACAGATTCTTAACATGGCCAGACCAATCTTAAAATATTTAAAAATTTAATGATATCCCCATTTTCCTGTATCATATTTGACATTACCTATTTTTTATCACTTTCAACTGAGAAGTGACAAATGTGTATCTCCCAAGTCGCACCCAATTTTAATCATATGATTAAATGTATTGCTTCAGCTGTGGTTTTAAAGCGTGAGTGGAAGAGCCTCCGCGACTCCTTAAGACAAGCACTTAAGAAGAGTAGAAAAGGCGCCACCACAAAATCTGGTACACCTTGCAAGAAGTGGCGATACCAGAGCCGCATGGCTTTCGTATTGCCCTACATGACAATAAGACGGTAAGGTGTAATTATTTAAATTTCTAAAGTGATAGCTTTTATAAATACAAACGAGCTTACAGTACACCTGACGGTAAGGAACTGCAGCCTCTGAACACCTGCAACCAATTACAAACAAAGCAGGCTACAGATGTGTTGTCAGCACCAAGAAGATGCAATGCCTTGCAGCGTGTCCTCAAACCGGAACACAATAGTGCATGCGCTACTGTTTGACGTTAGGAATACGTAAGAAAACGGAGAGATTAGATTTTACCGAGACAGATTCTATCCTATTACAGTGTATGAAAGTGCACTGCTGAACATAGGCCTCTACCATAGATTGCCTCATAAGGGGGATTTTGCCTAGTTGCCACGGTTAGCAGACGGGTTTTTTTTAATTATTGTGGGTTGTTATCCCGAAGATGCTGCTGCCCATCTCGTGTTTTAATTTCCCTGTGTCGCCTCTTACGACACCCACGGGACGATATGGGGTAGTGGATTATACGGCTTTCGTCCTAGTGTTTTGGGTGACTAATAAGCACAAAATGGATGCTATGCCACCTTAGACACCTACGTCTATTCTTGATAAATAATCAAAATTCAGATGCGTTGTCACCTTTGAATACTAAGATAGTCCAATGAATCTGTAAAAGTCAACAGTTTAAAGGCCGGCAACGCATCTGCAATTCCCCTGGTTCCCCTGGTGTTGCAGTTGTTCATGGGCGGCGGTAGTCACTTACCATCAGGTGAGCCGCATGGTCGTTTGCCCCCTCTCCTATAAAAAAAAGTCAACAGTCGTTACAGCATGGTCACACTCCGATTTAGCCGACCCAACCATAATATAGCTGCAGCGTTTTCCTACCGCGTTTAAATATTCTAATATTATTTCATGTTATTTTAAGACATCAACGGCCAACCAAAGAAGATATCAAAATTGATGAAACCGAAGTGCAATCAGAACCAGAACAAGAATGCGAGGTCTGGGACCAAGGTAGCTCTGATCAGGACTCTTTAGACCTCTTCTTTGCAAGTGTCTGTCAGAGCACGAAGAGATTACCTAAAAAGTTCCAGAATCAAGTGAAGCGGCAAGTCCTGGATGTGCTGCTGAGGGTTGAGGCGGAATGTGAAAATGAAACAATGGACTCTAAGACGGGATTATGAAAGCTTTAAGTTATAACAAAGACTATAATTGTAATAAGTCTAAACTAAAATGACCGTGTGGTGTGAGATTCCATTATCTGGTCCGTAACAAGCAACTTAGGGAAATGTGAAGTCGAAGGTGGACCGTGGCAAAGCGAGGCGATCATGAGAAGACTTTTCCTATAGTTGAGGCGTTCCTGTTTCCCTGAAATTGTTGACGGTTTATAATTATTGTAGTAAAATCCAAACCAACAGAGAATGAGCTGTAAATTGTTTTGGCTTAAAAGTCTTTATAATATAATGAATATAACTATTTTTACCTATATAATCGCGTTTAATTTTAAAATTTTATTATTTTTACGGATTTTATTGCGTTTAATTTTAAAATTAAACGCGATAAAATTCGTGAAAATATATTTATAAAATATTTAGTTTATAAAATATTTTGTACAGTTTGGTATATTTTATATAAAAATTTTATATTTGTTTGGTCATCTTCTTTGCGTTGCCTTCCGAAGAAATTTTGGGAAATACAAGCATTCAAAGGCATAGCGGGCACACCTAGTAGAATACAAAAAGTGTTTTTAAACAGCATTTCTTTCTTCAATCTAAAAGACTTTTATGAAGTTATACTTCTTTTGGGGCGTTTGGGAAAAATGAAGAGAGTGTATTTTTATGATGCGCGCGCACTGTCACCTAAAAGCGACAACTTCAGTGGGTAATTGTCTCTCAAGTTTTTTTGTTTTGATATTCTAAAGAAGTATAACTTCTTACGTGCGTACATAAGTACACACTATTTATTTTGTAATTTTTTTTAAATTTACCGTTTCGAAATGAAGTTCCTTCGACCGGAGAAGAAATGACGAAGGAATATTTTTTTTATATAACGAGCTCACCTAATGGTGACTACCGCCGCCCATGAACAACTACAACACCAGGGGAATTGCAGGTGAGTTGCCTGCCTTTTAAAAGAGAGAAAGTTCTTTTCTTGAAAATCCCTAAGTCGTATCGAACCGAAACATTCGCTGGTGGTAGTCGATTTCACAAGGAAATTGTGTGAGGAAAAAACTTTTCGTAAATCGCACAATGGTGCACTGGTGGACCACGATGCATCCAGATCGTATGGATGGTATCGCGAGTTTTGTCGCGACGTGCGACGGTGAAATTGAGTAGCTGCAATTAGTTCGAACAATTCCGCAGCGCCAGTGAGTCAAGCCGATCAAAGGGAACGGTTGTCGACGTAAAAGATGTCGATATATCTTATATGTAAATTTTTGGACGTTCTTATTAGCTCGCTTTTGTGTATGTCTGTTCGGGTGGAATTTAGTAATTGATTTTAAAGTAACATACGGTGAGGTAGAGACTTGAAATTTTGAACACAACTTAGATTCGGATAACAATATTCATATTCATATAAAAAGTGTTATATTAAAAAAAAAACATAATTCTTGATTTGAAATATTATACTAGCATAGTACAAAATATATTACAAGGAATGAAAAACAATAACAAACACATCTGTAACTGAAGCAAGTTCTTATTTTCATAGAATAAGGACAAATACAGCAGCAGTAAGCTGCAATTTTACGCTGGTATACTGTGAGAGCGTGGTCCTTCCCCGGTCGCGCAGACCCATTCTTGCAACAACCATAATGTAGCTGCAGCGTGGCTCTACCATGTGTATATGATGTATTTAAAAAGAAACCTTAAAATTTAATAAATTTAAACCGGTCCCCACAAGCAGCACCTAGTCGCAAGTAATAATATAAATATCCTCCGACTGAATTCCGGCAGCGGCGGTCAGTCTCAACATGGACTAGCCATCTACGCAGCACAGGATTATAGATCCCTAGTGTGTGTGCAAGCACAGGTCTAAGATTCCCTCAATCTTATAGTCCGATGGGATGGTAATCCAATACGCACGGAGAGAGATCAGGCACAGGACCAACGGCTTTACGTGCATAGTGGCAACTGGTGGCAACTATCGCCCTCCTCGATCTTGTTTAAGGAGGTGTACGCTGCTAAGGTTCATTATCGGTCTTTAAGTATAGTCGGTGTGGAGATTCCAAACCTATGTTTGTATAGAAGAGGGCCAACGAACGTGCGGCTCACCTGGTGGTAAGTAACAGCAACCGTCCACGAACAGCTGCAAAACCAGGGGTATTGCAATTTTTTTCGTTCAACTTGCATTGGCAGCCTTTTAAAAAGGAGCACCTTCACCGTGTTAATGTATAATAAACGCCTAATAAAATTTTCATTAAATTTAACTCAGCATGATTTTGTTACGAATCGAACTTGGAAAAGTTTGCAAATGAAAAGTAGACAATGTGGACAGACAGAATCGTACCCACGTCCTCTTTCAACGTGCTGTTTCAATCAATATAACTAAAGTAAGAACCTAAATACGTCTAACCGCTGGGCCACAAGCTCTCTTTTCTGATAGGGTGTTGTAGAGCAATGACTCCACTGCCATATCTTTTTGCCTTTTATAAATTTTTATCACGTTTTTATTGTCACTTTCTTTTTGTGTCTCTCTATCGTACCGGGTGGAATGTTGCAACTCATATTTCGTGCACTTCCCGAAGAGTTATAGACCTGAAATTTTGAACATAGCCCAGAATAGATAGGAATATGACAAAAACGTGGTATATATTTTTTTAAGTACAAAATTTATAAAAACATCACTTGTTTACATTTTGTGCTGCATGCTTAAAGTGGAATAAACGCATTACTTTCTTTCAACGCGCATAATGCAAATGAAAAGACAATTACATAGGTGCCGGCGGGAATTGAACCCGAATTTGCTCACGTACAGCTGCTAAGCGTCCGCGGCTCTCAACAAAATCATATCATAATACAATCAACTTTTAATAAAACCACAAGATATAGCTAAGATTGCCTTAAAACCACGTAAAATGATTTTTTATTAGAGAAAACATTACGTAGGATTCTCTCCTGTATCGTAATGGCAGTTTACATACATAAATTTCACAAGAACGGACATCTAGACCCGGAGCAATTATGTGTAGGCCATACAAATACTTGTCCCGTGCGGATTCGAACCCGCTACTCTCAGCGCTGCAATTCATTGCTAAGCCACTGCGCCACGGAGCCGTCAATTTTCAAAACTTGTGCCAATTTACTTTAATAAATAATGCTATGTACAAGAACTGATTAAAATTGTTTCACAGAAATTAACATAAAGAAACCATTAGAAGAAAGTTTTAACAGGACGGTGAAAACAAAAAACTTATTAAGCGACTTCTTACAATAGAGAGGGATTGCGCAACTTTTTCTGCCACCAGGGCGGTGCCACTTTGGAATAAGGTTAAGTGTTTGACAGATTTTACGTCGGTAAGGAGTGTGGGAGAGAGAGGTTTCCAACAGGAGATAAAAAAGGGTATAACGTGATCATCATTTTAAACTGTGTCATTACTATCGCGTTGGTAGGTTTTGATGATTTTGATAAGCGCAAATCTAATCTTTATATATGAGCCACCAGAGCCATGTGAAGCTATATTATACTTATAGGACGAATGCGTCGGCTCGACCGGGGAAGGACCACGCTCTCACAGAATACCAACGTAAAATAGCAACTACATTTTGCTGTGTTTCGTATGGAGAGTGTAGAGAACCGGAGACCCATTTTAATTCTTAATCGAGAATTGATGTAGATGTCTATGGGCTACAGCATCCATATCAGGTGGACTGTAAGCTCGTATGTCACCCTTATAATATTTGAAAATGAATTTTAAACCAGACTTCTTCAAACAAAAGAATTCAAACCATCAACAAATTTTACTTTCCGATTACTGCAACTTGTTCTTGAATTCTCTCGACTGAATTTTTGTCATGGCGACCAGTCTCAACAGAGACTATCGACCTGCGCAGGACAGAATTTATAGTGCACGAGTGTGTACACAAACACAGGGGCATTCTCTAATCTATCATATGCATAGTCTGATGGACGGAAATCTGACACAACCGCAGAGAGTTCACAGGCGCAGAACTCTCTCTGTTAAGTCACGTATGAGGACGTGTGTCTAATTAATTAAATCACATAATTGAATATTTCCCTTGTTTCCAATTAACTCGTCTCCTGACTTCCTGACATGGCAAGTGACAATACAATACAAGACTTGACAGGCGGTCGTTATTGGTAGTGTTGTTAATTAATGTTACTTAAGACTAGTTACTACGTAGTACGTGACGAAATTAAATGAAATTATAACAATATTTAAGATGCAAAATTTCATTCATATACATATTAGCAGAGGAGACCGTGGGAGATCGACCTTCACCCGTCATATATAATGTACTTATGATAACCAGATGAGACCTATTTTTTATAAAATTTTAGTGATCTATAAATACGCCTATGATAGCTGTGCCTTTTCAAGTGTTCATGACTAATTTTAATTAAATTAATTTTAATCAATTTTTTTTTCATAACCTTGACTTTTTTGATAACCGAACAAATTTAGTTTAAACAGATAGTTTTCAACATGGAGAATATGCCTTGATAGGCTTGCCTACATATTCCTGTTCATGGCTACCTGGCAAGCAGGTATAAAAAGGTAAGTCAATATAAGTAATTACACCAATATGTTAATGAATAAAAATTGGCATCAGAAAAAATATAATTTAATTACGAAAATAATAGGCTTGCCAGCAATAAACCGTTCATGGAATATTATGGCCATGCTTTAAAGTTTTAAAATCGGAGCAATTAAATATGTGCAAGAGAGAAAGTAGAGCCTCCGAAGTCCGTGTGAAACAAAAAAAAACTATTTTTAACTATTCAAAACTGTCGTTATTCCTATCTAGCGCAGCGAAATCGAATAATAAAAAGTAAAGTAATTGAATTAGTGTGTGATCATGAAGAGGCGGACACCAGGATCATTTTCACGCATCTAGAGTAACATCGGGATCGAAGATTCTCATAAAATCATCCGATACCGATGTACTGATAATATGTACGGCCGGGCAAACATTATTCTGCCATTTCCGGCGAAACTTTG